ATTTGCTGGTAAGAAATCCTTTATCATTGATTATTTAGAGGCTTTCCATGGGCTCTCTTTTCCAGGACTCAATTGAGGCAGTTTGTAGCTGTTAGCACTGAATATGTTACCTAGACAGGTAATGAAACATCTGCAATAAAACAACCAAGCTCAGAGAACCCCAAGGACTCAACAGTTTCTTCTTCTTTCTCATTTTCAAGCAAAGAGGAGGCTGAAGCAACAGGAACCACAACTCAATAAACAACTGATTGAGCTGAATAAACAATTCCTTCCACATTCACTAAAACCTAGGTGTCCTGAATTGTACTCAGATGAGTAATTAAAACAACTAAAACAGTTTAAACAGATACTTAAATATTTAAATTTAGATAGCTATTATAGGCTGCCTAACTAAGCAGAGGAAAAGAAACACAAGACCACCCAATCACCTTCTTGGAAAAAAACAAAAACAATGATACCAGACTAACACTGTCTCTGATCAATTGTTGATGCTAGTTAACCCTAGAAAGCATAATTCCAATCACAAATGGTTGATTCTGATGGTTCAGACCCAATGAGGTTTTATGAGCATGACAAACTTAAACAAAACGTAGTTCCTATTAATGAAACCTGTGGAATAAAATCAACCAAATGCAGGGACAGTGTAGGGAAAGATGTTCTCCAACTGTATTATACCAAGCTCCCTTCTTTTATAGATATTACAAACTAAACAATTGGTTGCTTACCCATAAATGTGACTCAAGTGGTCATTTATGAATCCAAACAAATGAATTCTTCATTGTGCAATAGCAGAGATACAACATTTTAATGCTTAGGATTTTTATTAGGGGCTCCGCCTCCTTGTAGCATATATGTATGCATAAGCAGGGCTTCTGCTATTTTCCTCAGTTCTGAAGACCAAGAAGGTAGCCTTAAGCTGAAACTTGTCATCCTTGAGCCCAGAGCAGGAAAAACGTGCAGGTGTTAGTGAATTCACAAATGATGCTTAAAGAATCAGTTGCAGGTAGGTTAGCAGTTCTTCATCATGGTCTGTGTGATTCACACACACAGATGAATAGAAGACTATCTCATCGGTTGTTTGATAGGCATTTAAGTAATGGCAAAGACAAAACTGCCTTGACAAAAAACAGCATTTTGCCATGATCAGAGATCCATTCTGTAGTGCTGGATAAAAATGGAAGGTTCTAACTACATGGCAGCCTGGTAGATACCACCAAGAAAACTCCCTTCAGAAAGACTGCTGATATAGCTACTGAGCTATCTGAATGGCCTCTAACGCAGTCTGATTTCAGCCATAACTCAGTTGGCAAATTAGTGCACCAACTATGGCTTTACCTAGAACAGGATGTCCTGATCACCACTCAGTTGGATTACTGCAGTATGATCTATTTGGTGCTGCTTTTGGAGATGATTCAGCTAGTACAAAATGCAGCAGCTAGGCTGTTTGTGGGACAGTCCCTCCAGTGGAACTTTGTTTTTATGGATTTTATTTTTCTGTTGTATGTTTTTTATTTGCCATATTGTTTGGGGAGGGGGTACTGGGAGACCATGATTTCTAGTCTCGCCTTAGGCACAAAGCCAGCTGGGTAACCTTGGAACAGTCACTCTCTCTTAGCCATAGAAAGGAGGCAATGGCAAACCACTTCCAAAATCATGCCAAGAAAACTGCCAGGCAGTTGTCAAGGCAGCCACCAGGAGTCAACAATGACTCGAAGGCACCAATAAACAAACAAACAAATCTGATGTATGCTGCCTGGAGT